CTATAAAAACCCACATCGGCACCTTTTAATCTCAGATCCCCACATGCAGTGGGCTCTCCTCTCTTCCGCTGACACGCTGCTCCGTAGTCATCAAATTCTGCAAATATTCTGCATATTTGTCTCTTCCTTTCAGATCCAGTTCTATACATTGTCTGGCTCTAATCTTCAGCCCAAGTTCCTGCAAGAGCTGCTGAGCTGGCATATCCGGATATGGATTCTGTTCCCTCCAATCATCTTTCATATGGTGACTAGAATAATCCTCCCTCAAATCTGTCAGCAATTTTCTATCTCCTATAAAATCCAGTGGAGCCGCCTTTGCCGCTACTTCAGGGTCATCCACATTCTTTAGTCTCTGTCTCCTCCACCCTCTCTCCACTCCTGCCACCCCCTGATACATACTGAGGTGAATATTATGGTGCGCCTCCCAGATACCTTCTCCAGGGCCAATGCAGCCATCCAGTCTCACCCACCCCCAACCCAGCTGATGAAGGACCAGTGGCTGACGGCTCACAGCTGGACACCTCATAAGGGCTGCCCTTAGTGGAGGAAATGCATACCCCCTCCTGGGGATGGCCTGAAGCCAGCAGCTGGCTGATGTGACACACCAGGGCCTGTCCTTGCTTCTCTTTGGGACACCCCTAATCCGTCATTGCAGCCCCAAAGCTCCCCACAGGGCCAGATGAGGCCTCGTTTGCAACCAGTGTGCTTTTTCTGCTGCGCAGTCCTATCTTTCTCACTTCCTTATGGGTGCATGTTCTGAGATCACTCCCAACAAACCTGTGTACACAGCTCTTTGGCTCAGAGTTTGGGAAACCAGTCTTAAGACAGGCAGCTCCAGGGGTGGTCCAAGGAAGTAACTCTAAGAATAGGATTTGGAAATGGATAGTTTGCCAGCCATTTACCAAGGATGGTGCCTGGCACGCTGTAGCAGTGCACTGTTACTATTCTTCCCAGAGACGAACCAACATGGAGTGCCAGTGGGGGACTCCTGGCTGGGGCAGTACTTTGCTGCCTAAGAGTGATGAGGGGCTGTGTGACTATAAGCACTCTGGAGTCCGGTACCAGCTTCCAAGTGTCATTGATGGTTGAAGAGACTTAAAAAAAGACTCATGGTGATTGATGACCAATTCAGTCAACATGTGAAAGCCCAGGGTCCCTGGCAGCACTTAATTAATCCCTAGTTTCCTGCAGTCAGGCAAGCTCAATTCTAAAGCAATGCTCTTTCAGAGAAGTTTGGATTCGCAGCTTCAGCGAGTCTTCTGTGCCAAGGCTAGGTCCTAATGAAGGAGTAAAACCGTAAAACTGGGAAGGGAATACCTGGGTGGAGTGATTGAGAGCCTCAAACCCTCCTGTCCCCCTGAACCTGACAAGCCTCTTGTTAGGCTCCCCCAGCCCTGCTGGGGATGTGCTGGGCCAGCTACATGAAGAGAGTGAAGTCACTGCAGGAGCCAAGAGAGTAAGTGTGGGATTGTGTCCTGAGGGTGCCCGGTCAAGGAGAGGTGCAGCACTAAGCTGGAGAACTCCCCCGTGATTCAGGACTTTCTCTGTATTGAATATAGTTGATATACAATATAGTATGCTGGTTTCAGGTGTACAGCACAGTGACTTGACAGTATCTACATTACTAAATGCTCACCCTAAGTGTAGTCTCCGTCACCATACAAGGTTATTACAATAGTATTGGTTATATTCCCTATGCCGTACTTACATATTTTATAATTGGGAGTTTGTCCCTCTTGATCTCCTTCACCTGTTTTGCCCATCCCCCCACCATGGCAGCCATCAGTTTGTTCTCTGTGTGTATGAGTCTATTTCTATTTTACTTGTTTAATTTGTTTACATTCCACATATAAGTGAAATCATAATGGTATTTATCTTCCTCTGATGTATTTCACTAAATGTAATACCTCCTAGGTTCAACCATGTTTGTTGCAAATGGCAAGATTTCATCTTGTTCTATGGCTGAATAATAGTACATAGTATATACCACATCTTCTTTATCCATTCACATCTCTACAGATGCTTAGATTGCTTCCCTATCTTGGCTATTGTAAATAATGTTGCAGTAAACATAGGTGTGCACATATCTTCTTGGATGCTGCTTCTGTTTTCCTTGGGTAAATACCCAGAAGCAGAATTACTGGGTTGTATGGAATTTTAATTTTAATTTTTTGAGGAATCCCCATACTGTTTTCCTTAGTGGCTATACCAGTTAACCATAATGCAGGAATTAACACCGTGGCAAATGCCCCAGCGGTAGTGATAATAAGGTGCTAGTATAATTCTTAGAGGATCACAGAAGCTATGCTCCATACTGAGGGAAATAGAAATGCAGGAAGTTCCATGGTGGATGGTGGAGGAAAGCACCCACAGGCTGAGAGAAGTGGGCATGCTAAAGTGGGCTTACACGCTCAAGTGGGTTTGCTATGGTGGTCCCCGAAAGCCTCTGTTTGCCAAAGTGATGGTGGCTGTGCTTGTGCAAGAGTCACCAGCAGTGCTGAGAAGCTCAGCCATGCCACTGTCTGTAGCCCAGCTAACAGAAGGAAGAGATGCTCTTTCAACACTTGGCTCACTGATGGACCTGAGACTAGCAAGATCTCAAAATAATAAAAGCCAAGTACCAGTTCTTAGCTTCCAGAAGGACCATGGGCACAACTGGTACAAATCATGGTGGATTGGAGTGACATTCAGAGGGTCCTGACTTGGAGATGGTTAACAGAACATGGTGTCCCTGGAGGCAAGAGAGATGGGCTGCCAACAAGGTATTGCTTCATTTATACAGTCAAAAAAAATCAATGAGGGATTGTCAGAGGCAGAGGGCAGTATCTCAATAAAAATCACAATCCCTTGCTCAGTTTCCAGATCAGATTTGGAGCCCATTAGCTGACTTAGAGGCTGAATCTTTATGAGTAAGGACCCTGTGATACTAGGATAGATATATTCATTGATTATTCTCCTAATACTTAACCAGAGAATTTAGGACTACTTACAGTAAATGTGCTGTGAAGGAACAGGGAATACTCAGAGCTTTTGAGAATAATTGAACACTGGGTCTGAATTGACCCTAATTCCTGGAGATCCAGTGAGTCACCATGATGGCCTATTAAAGTGGGGGTGCATAAGGGCCCCAAACATCCTAGCCCAGGCCTGGCTTTCAGAGGGCCCACGGTCCACGGACCAGCCTGGTGGGCCTTTTCCTTATCTTCAAATGAATAATTGAAAGGTACCCTTGGTAGTTTGAAGAACCCTCACATTGATTCCTTGACTTCTTGAGTAAGAGCTATTTTAGTGGGGTGAGGCAAGTGGAAGCTTCTGAAGGTTCCTATCCCAGCAAAAAGAGTAAATCCAAAACGATTCCAGAGGGATCGGGGAAAATTAACGAAGTTTTCAAAGGCTTTGAGAGTGTAGTAGCCCTATCATATGCCCCTGTATTGCACTGGGCCAGCCCCTGCAATGATCAAACAGAATGGGCGGGCGGCTGGGCAGCAGCCTATGTCCCAGCTACTGTACTCAATACAGCTGCTTTGCTTGAGCAGATTAAAACGGCCTCCAGCACATGATCTGGCTAATGTGTTACCTTGTCATACCTGTCAGGAAGGAGAACCGGATGCCATTGGCACTCCCATGGGATGAATAATGGTTTATGTTTTTGGTCGTGCCCACAAATCTGTGTAAATTCTCACACCCTTTGTCAAGGTATAACCTGAAGTAACCTGGGTTTTGTGGGCAGTCTGTAAAATATATTGATTTCACCATGTGATTGACATCATGTAGTAGGACCCGATGATAGAAGGCAAGTATGTTGGAGGTCTTGGTTTATGCACCATACATACTCCAAACTCAAAATTTATCTGCCATAAACCTTAGACAATTAGACAACAGGTAACAAACCTTACTGGCTTGAGAAGACTTCTGATCCCAGACGAGATAGAGTAGACATACTCTTCCTTTTCCTCCCACTAAAGACTCTGGTATATATATACCAAAGTGTGTGTGTGTGTATCCACGAGCACAGTAAGCCTCTAAAAGGTGGAGAAAAGAAGGCAAAGAAGGTAGGAACCTCAGGATTCAGGAAATGATATGGCAGTGATTTCCCTGTTCTTCCTCTTTTCCCTCTCATGCATTGCAGACTGAATACTAGAAAAGCTAGTAACCTAGAAATGCCAGTGGGTACAAACAATAACAACAAAACCGCATGGTTACCTGTATTTTCCTTTTGGTAAAGGGCATCAGCTTCCTGTTATGTTTGAGAAGTAGTGGCAGTGGGATTGGGTGGAGAGAGAGGCAAGAGTGGGGGTTAGGAAGGATTCAGAGGATTCTCTGATGATCAACAAGTTTTAATTATATTATGATTTCATCTTAAGGATAATCTCCCTTGTAGACATTAATAATCAGTAGTGATAGGGAACCATCAAATAAGCCTGCTAGGAATACATATACTCTGTTATTTACTCAATAGCAAAAATTTATTTTCACTGACTTTGTAACTTGAAAATCAAACAGCCAACTTCAGAAACAAGTGAATTGGAATTCCTTAGTCTCATTTAGGTGGAGTATTCAGTCCCATCTAATAAACTAAGATAAATTATGTATTATGAAGTTAAATTGAATTCCTTTGAAATCCTTATGGTCAATCAACCATAAGCAATTTGATTGAAGTTTGTATTTTTTAAATAAGTTTTTATTTGCAGCTATTTCCCAGGATTTCTTTATTCAGTATTTCTCATTAAGAGAGTGAAGTGAGAATAGGTTAAGAATCCTGTCTTCTGCTGCTGGGAGGTCTGTAAGAGGCTAGGATGCTCCCAAGACTGGGATTAAGAGCCATCCGTACCACCTCTCTCCTTGGATTCCTGAGCCTGATTCTGTTTGAAGATGCCAGGCCTCAAAGGACATCATGTGACGTAGGCTAGCGCTTGAACTCACCATGTCCAGACAAAAGCCCACTGAAACAAGTTCAGAATTCCCTTTTTAGGGCACATCACACCAGGATCTCACTCATATAATCCTAGAGTATCTTTATTTATTCTATAATTTAATAGTACACCTATAAAATAATTACATTATACTTAGAGCTTTTCTTCATTTATAAACAGACAAAAAAAAAACAATTAAATACAATTTGAGCCATTATAAGGTAAACTTTGTACAAACAAGAACCCCCAGAAGGAGTTTCACACTGCAGCATATCATATTGCTTCCATCGTTACACCCACAGTTGGGTTCAAAGAGAACATGCTCGTGTTTGTAGGCTGTGAGTTAGTTCATAGCTTAATCCTTCCCCTCTCTGCCAGGGTTCTGTGTTAATAGAATGACAGGGGCTGGCTTTGCAATCAGGGAGACCTCCCTGCCCCCTCCTACTGCACTGGCCGTCTTTACAGTCCTGTGGCTTGCTTGCCTCCACAGCTTCTCCACTGCATGTGCTGACACTGAGTCTGACTCAGGCTTTGCACAAGGCAAAAATCAGTTCTGAACTTGGACACCCTCCCCACTCTCTCTCCATCCCAAGGTCCCAGCCCTCGAGGATTTCTGTTGAGTTCTGCCTCCTGAGTTAGGGCGTTGTGTTCCATTTCTGAAGCTAAGACCTCCTTCCGAACAGCACATTCTGCTCGGGTTTCACGGTGTTACTGGAAGTGACAGAAATGAAGCCTGCGAGGTGAGGCAGGAGAGGGAGTCACCCACTTGCACCCCCACCTGCATCCTTACATTCCAGGTGAAATGTCTCTCCATCCCAGGCACTGGTAAGGCCCGTTAGTCTCAGTTCCCATAGCAGCTTGTAGGGGACCTCACAAACCCTGACACGGGGTCTTTCTGAGTCCCCTGGCAGCAGCGTTTGCAACTGAGTGTTGGGGATTACCAGTAAAAGGTTTTCAAAGTATGCTGATTCCCACCAATGACATCTCATTCACATTTATCAGATTCCATAAACATTACTCACAGGGAAGCCTTTGGTGGGGCAGTTTAGCAAAGGGACTTGAAGTATCATGTCCCTGGAAAATGAGTTATGTCAACTTTCTTATCTTAAGAGACCGCAACATGAAAACCTCAACAGTTGATATGAAAATGAAAGTTGAGCTAATGTTTGTGCATCCTTCTTAAAGCACATTCTTTGGAAAGGAAGCCAGCTTCTTTCTGTAGGACAGTTCAATTTTATTTCTGCTTTATATATTTTATTCTTTACTTCCTCCTAAGCCACAAAGTGACCCAACTCCTTACAATTTTAAATATTTAACTCCTTTAACAGGAAGTATTTTTTGCTTAATGTCATGGCAGTGAAATAGCATACCTTGTCACTCTATGTCTGCATAATAAATATTATAGGGGCTTTGGAGCTCCGTGTTAACAACTTCCCAGAGAGTCCCCCTCCATCATCCATCCATCCAGACCCAATTCTACCTTAAGCTGCAATGCTTTAGTACCTTCAGTGAGACAGTGTTCAATGTAAAATTGCAACTGCTCCCACCTCCCTGCCCAATCTAATAGGTGCTTGAGGGTGAACTGCTGACCAGGCATTACTTCTGAGTCCACCACCTTCCAGGCAGGTCATCACCTGCTCTGGTGCCCACTCAGAAGGATGTTGCAAAGGCAGAGTCGAAACACGTGAAACAATACATATAGGTCTATAATACTTTTTTTAACAGCTCTTGACATTATAGGTCAATTACAAAACCAGCGTTAATATGGAGACCTTTGTGTGTAGCAATATTCTATTGCAGCGATAATAGCATGCACACCCGAGTTCATCTCTAGTCCACAGATGGGGGTAGGGGGTGAGGATGAGGAGGCTGTGGTGGCTGGGGTTGGGGGAGTGTGGCCAGCTGCGAGCAAGGTCCCCAGGGAAGCCCCCTTGTGATCCTTGTGGCTCATGCCGTCTTCTCGGTGTCAGGTGGCTTCGGAGACCCTCCCCAAGCACGGACATCCTTTCAGAAGTGGTCCAAATTGGCCTGGCGGCGGCGCAGAGTGAACGCCCCGGCCAGAGCCCCGACGGCAGGTGTGTGAGGGCCGCTCGGAGGGGCCACAGATCCCCCGCTTCCCGGGGACGGGCGAGCTGGAGTGTGGGGAAAAGGCTCGCTCCTCCACACGGTGGAAACCTTGGCGCCGACTGACAGGGCACCTGGGAAGCGCTCCCCGACTGCGGGCCGGCGGGTGGGGCTTTCCAGCACCTTCCTTCGGGGCACAGCGTAGCGCGGGCCGGAGGCGGGGGAGGCCCGGGGTCGCGCGGGGACTGCTGCCGCGCCCGGGAGCGTGCGGGCCGCGGCGGGACGGCGTGCGGGCGCGGGGCGGGACGCGGACCGGGACGCACGCGCGCGCTCACGGCTTGCCTGCGTCGCCCAGGTTCACGGACATGCAGCGGCACTGCTTCACCTTCTGGATCTTCTTGAGCCGGAAGGGCGGGTCCAGCCCGGGGCACTCGAGCTCCACGAGCACGGAGGTGGCGCGCTGCGGCTTGCAGAAGGCGCACGACTGGAAGGAGCCCTCCTCGGCGCGCGCGTGCCGCGGGATGTAGAAGGAGTTGCACTGGCCGTAGCAGAAGCGGTTGAGCACCGTGCGGCTGCGGCAGCCCTCCTCGCCCACCGTCTGCCGCAGCGGCTGCGTCTTGCACCAGTCACTCTTGAGGTACTTGCGCTCGGTGACCACTAGCGCCTCGTGGCTGGAGGCCAGCACCTCCTTGACCTGGTGGTGCCATCGCTCTGAGGCGTTGCTGCCGCCGTCCTTGTAGGGCGAGGGGATGGCGCCCGCGGGCCGGGCCTTCCTGGCTCCGGCTGCCTCCACCAGCACGGCCACCAGGAGTACGGACAGCGACAGCCTCCGGAGCATCCTGCAAAGACAGCACAATCAGAGGGGTGGCTGGCACGGTGGCCGCGTGCGTGCGGGGCGCGTCTCTTGCAGGCCTCAGGGTTTTGCAAGGAGGAGCTGCAGCCAGGTGGGCGAGGCCGGCTGCGGACTCCGGGATGGGACAGGATTAAATAGCACACTTACAGACAGCCAAGGGCTTTCCTGAATACTGCCCCCAAGGCAGGGTGGTGCACAGAACACTCAGTCATTAATCATGCAGGTAGACTACACATCTTGAACAACTACAGAAGAATCACAAAGCAGAGGCTGTCAAATGTAGTCCAGGCCAGCTGGCCGGAGTACCACTGACAGTACCCAGCACTGACTGCCTTTTAGTAGGTACCATGAGCTTTAATATGGATATCTCCCTTGATCCTCAAAACAGCCTTACGTTGGAGGTGGCAGTCCTCTCCCCACTGTGTGAAGAAAACAAGCCCATGGATGCTGAGTAAATAGGAATGACAGAGATAAACAGACCTGAGCAAGATCACACAACCACGGAGTAATGGCCCAGGATTTGGAGCCAGGCATCTGCCTCCAAGAGCCATCAGAATTAACCCCTAGACACAGATATGATTAAGAGAATTTATAAAAAGGGAAGGAAACGTGGGCATGGTTCACAAGTTTCTTAAAATTCAGTATTAAAGTTAGAAATGGACAGAAATTAGGAAAATCAGCATTTACACCTCTGTTAATTGCTCTGAATAATAAGTAACAGTTAACATCTGCACAAAGATATTCAAGTAATTACAAGCCATGTATTAGATTCTCGTAGCAGAAACGCCTGCCCGGCCATGAATTAAGAAATTTCCATGGCTATATTAAAACTGCCTTAGACCAGTGCAATGGTGAGCCACATGAAAGGCTTATTTCTTCAGTCTGTGGATAGGGCACCATGCCAGAAGTCCATTCACACAAGGGAACTGTTCTTACTTTATACCAGGTCTTGTAGAAAGCATACTGAAATCTGAATGAAGATGGACTTCTGCAAAGGTTAACTCCAGTTTTCATTGCTATAGTTTCACTAACACCCCTCAGTGGAGATGACTCTCACCTCCCTTTCCCACTGTAGCTTTCCTCCTCATCCTGTGTCATCATCACCAACACATGCACATTTCATCTCTCCCTCTCTGTGCATTTTACCACTCATAGAACTCTCATTTGTTTCACTTGTTCACCCCAAAATGGCATGTAAAATTATATACCTACATAAAACATTATATCATTATATAGTATGTTCTAATTATAATATTACATATAGCAGGCATAAGCATAATGACTAAAATTAAATCTCAAACATATTAAACTCCCTGAGTTATTATCAATGGCTTAAGTATATTCATGCCAATGATAATATTTACTGGTGTTCAAAACACAGTCAATGCCCCTACAGTTTCCTTTCTTGTATAAAGCTGTTTAATCCTCAGAGTTCTATGAAGCATTATTTCCCCCACTTTACAGATGAGGAAGCTGAGGCATTGCGAGACTTTGTAACTAACCCAGATTGACAGCTGCTAGTATGTGAAATATTTGAATCCTTGCTTCCTGGCTCCAGGTGAGTACTGCTACCCCTTTGCTAAAAATACTTGTGTTAAAATACCTACGCCAAAATATTTCTCTGTATCAGTGTTATTCCTCTGAGTCTGAGCCATATCACCTAGTAGATGAGTCCATTTGTCAGGTACTTGTTGGGTATTTATTCTGGAGCAAACACTCTGATAAGCTTTGTAAATGGCAGCACCTCCCTCAGAGACAAAGATAACCAGTGTTGGATGAGCCCTTACAAGACCTGCCCTCCCCACCCTTATCTCACAGGCTTCTTCATCTACTCTCTCCCCGCCCCTTGCTTACTCTGCTCCAGTCACACTGACCACCTTTCAGTTTCTAGAATGTGCACAGCATTTTCCTGCTCCAGAGCCTTAACATTTCTCTCTTCCCCAGATATCTGCATGGCCTTCATTCACCGTCTTCCGAGTCTTTGCTCAGTTATCACTCCCATAGGGAGGCTTTAGGGGAACTTCACCACAATCCCAGCATTCATTGTCTCCTTCATCGGGCTTTGTTTTTCTGCATGGCACTTAGAATCGTCTAAGATAGTATTTAATGATCTGATTTACTTTTGTATTATCTGACTCACCCCTTTGAAACAGAAGGTCCAAGACAGAAGGGCCACCTGTTTTGCCCATTGCTGTATGCCCTGCACTCAGAACAGTGCCTTGGAACACGGTAGGCACACAATAAATATGTGTTGAGTGGTATATGACTACCATTGCATTTCATTGCCTTCAACAAGCTTGAATTAAGAAGATGGAGAAAGGCATGCAAAAGTGACAGTAACAGTGACAGTTATATAGGGACAGTGGCTTAGGTTCTCACAGTATTGATCCTGGGACCAAGAGCATCAGAATCACCTGGAATGCAGTAGGATGCAGACTCCTGATCCCACAACACTCTGGATCAGTAGAGTGGAGATCTGTATTTTAAAGAATTGCTTCAGGTGAACTCCAGGGGCACCATGACCCCACAGGGGAAGTGAGGGCAAAAGGAAAGAGCATCAGCTCTTCCTGGAGATGGAGCGGGAGATGCCTAGGAAGTAAGAGCTCTTAAAATCCTGATGGGAATTCCTCCAGGTTTGACACTGCGAGAGAGTGGGAGGTGGGTGAGTGGATGACATGGGGCAAGGGAGAGAAAAGCCTTGAGAGCAGAGGGGGAAAAGGGAAGATCTTGTTTTGTAAAAACATTTTGTCCAACACAATTACTGAAATATTGAGGCCGAGTTTGTAAAGGGGTTTTCTCACGGCTCCTTAGCTCCACACATGCACTGTCCTATGAACACGGCCACGCTTCCAGCAGGCTCATGGCAAGCGCTGAGTATTGGACTCACTCTGCTTACCCAGCTTATTATATTTGCAGAATGATTTGTGATCTCAATAGTCTCTTTAAAAGAAAGTATGTTGGTTCCATGTTAATAATTTCCGAAATTATTAACATGCTGAGTAAACACAACTAAAAGTTTGCAAGTCCCAGCCAGGAAAGATTTACAGAGTCTGTCTGGTCCTCAGCTTCTGATTCCAGTAAAAGCCCCACAGGCATCTTTGATAGGCTCAAAACTGCTTGCTTTTTCTCCACAGGTCCTGTCGTCGTCAGGGGAAGCAGAGCTAAAACTCAGCTCGATTTGGGGCAAAAGCTCTTGGAGTCCACAGTACTAGATGTGGTGATTACCAACATGCATTCTTTGAACACTTGAAAACAGTTTCAGAACATCTGGCAGGCACCTGAGCAGTTCTGCCTCATAAGCACCTAAGGAGGAAAGCAAACCACCCATTTTCAGGATGGGAAAAAGAGGTGGAGGAGGCTGGAAGGCTGGGGCCAAGCGGGTGTTTCTTTCCTTCCTCCTGCACAGTGTCTCTGGCATCTCAGTGTCAGAGTCAATAGGCAAGAGGCATTTTGCTGCAGTGACTGGTAGGCTGTGATCTCTTCACTGCAAGGATGGGAAGGCAGCTGAGCCAGCTGCTGCCCTGGCCCATTGTCCCCTTCTAGGTGGGTGGGGTTCCCTGGGGAGAGAACCACTGGCTTCTTTCTTCAGCTCACTGACCATCCATGCACACATGTCAGTGGCCCCACCAGACCCTGATTTTAGCCTTCCAGAGTCCTCTCTGCCTTGAGTCACTTTGCTACTCAGAGAAATGGTTGGCATGCAGTTACCCTCTCGGGAATGCTGCCACCCTGCCAGTACAGACAGCACAGAGGTACTGCATTTCACCATGTATCTTGTGTTTGGCTTGTATCAGAAGAAACTGGTAAATAAGTTCTGTTGGTGTTATCCACCATCCTGGTGGACTGACAAAGCGGTGAATTAGCAAGGGTGTCAGAACCGAATATGCTGAGAGGCTAAGCAGCCTGGGTTGGTCAAAGCAGGCTATGCAAAGAGGTAGCGAAGTGCTTCCCCTGGGGCTCGGCCTTTGTAGATTCCAGAACCAGGGAGTCACAGGGCAGAGCAGTCTAGTATTGAGGCTGCTAAAAAATAACTAGCCCCTTCTGGAAGCTCTTCTTAAGAACTTTCAGGTTCTACAATAGGAGCTTGAGAATAAAGCTTCCTAATTACTAGAAAAGGATGTAGCAGTACTGAATCATATTTACCAAAAGGTCTATGCAGATGACCAAAGGCCAAGGGTGCACTTAAGCTGGTTAACTCACTTGCAGTGACCTTGATGAGTTTTAGAGGTCAGGTCAAGGTGTTCTGGGCCGCGCATAAGTGGTGAATGATTTGGGGCTCAAACTTTTTCTGTGACGTTAGAATTCTAAGGCATGTTTGGAAGGTTGAAGGCAAGCACCCAGGGCTGAATATGGGCAGATACATCTAGGATAAACTTCCTCCCATGGCCCAAATGAAAACAGAATCAAAAACAAAGAACTCCAAACAAAAGCCCCCAAAATGCTAGAATTCAGAGATTAGTTTTATGAATTTTACTACTAGAACTCAGTAAGCAAAGGTACTTCATCCATGACTGGGATTCTTAGGCTGGGAGGGAGCTCCTGAACTAGACATAGATATTCCTTGGCTCGAGACTGTCCTCTTACTGTAAGACTGCCTGTCTGCTGAAGCCACTTACCTTCAGCAACTGTAATTTGTGGCACACAGTAGCCTGGGGCCAACCCAACCTGAGGTCTGTGTGTGTAAATACAGTTGTATTGAACACAGCTCCGCCCATCTTATTTACATTTTCTCTGGCTGCTTTTGTGGGAGGACAGAGAAGGAGAGACAGAAACGCTATTGCCCACCACATAAAAAACATTTACTATCTGGCCTTTGACAAAACCGTTTTGCCAAACCCCGTTCCAAACCCTCCCTCTCCAAACCAGTTGTTGCCTTTTTTGCCTTTGGGCTCTCTTGCTGGAAAAGGAGACAATTTCTAACTGAAACATTTCAAACATAGAGCAAGAGCGAACATAGAACAAACCCTATACACGCACCACCAAGATTAAACCAATATTAATATTTCCCATCTTTACTTTGCAATCCCTTTTAGTTTTGAATGAAATAAAACAATATAGGTGAAGCTGTTTCATCCTCCCCTCCTTCTACCTTCATTGAGATGACCTGCATTCTGAGGTTGTTAGGTATCATTCCCGCTGAAGAGGCTTTTACTGCTTGTTTTGTGGATGACTGTGTGTTTGTGTGCACATGTTTAACCTTCACCTAAATAGTACCATGCTCTCCTTTTGTACCATTTTCATCCAAAAATAAGTGTCTGAGATTTTATACGTGTGCATATTTTTAGAAGGAGTCTCTTCATCTCTGCTGCTGAATACCTGGCTGAAGGGCACTTAGGTTTCTTCTCCTTTTTCCCTATTGCCAATAGCACTGCTCTGAACATTTTTGCATGTGTTTATGTCCATCTGTTAAGAGTGTTTCTAGAGGAGACACCGAGAATGGAAATGCTGGGTCATGGAATATGTACAACTTGAGCTTGACTAAGTTTTGCCAAGTCACTTTCCAAGTGCTGACCAGTCTTCTCCCCGGGGTAATATGTGAGTCCTGGGGCTGCACATACTTGCTCACAGCTGGTGGTACCAGACTTATTACTTTTTGCCTATCTGAAAAAATTGGAATGGCATCTTATTATTTCAATTTGCACACTTCTGATTACAAGAGAGTTGATCACCAAGCTGAAATGCAGTAGTTGTACTCTGAAAAGGAAAGAAGGCAACTTATTCTAAGTAGAAGAGAGGAATTAAAATATCAGGGAAAGAAAAATAAGTACTAACTATGTATCTTCTGAACTGTCATGAGAAGGATAGGAAGTAGCTTGCAGTTTCAAAGCAGAGCTATCAGGGCATCCCACATGACTCAGAGTTTAAAATCCAAATGTATTCACTTACTTTTCCAAGTGACATTTGCCTGAATGGAACACTGACTATCATTTTGTTCCAGGAGATGTTTAATTTCATCTGGAAAAATCATATTATGTTTTTAGAAAAGGTTTTCAACCAAAGAAGAAATGATACTGTCGTTACTTTGACTTCTGGATAGCAAGCGTATCATTTGCAGGGTTCTTAATCTTTGAAGAAATTGTTTGGTTAAACTCAGTCTGAGAAACGTAGCACTGAGGCAAGATGGGAGCAAAGCATTATGGTTAATAAGAATGGGTGAGAAAGTGCCTTGAGAGGTGTGAGCTTACACACGCATGGCTGCTTTTCTCTAGAGCAGGCCCTCTGGGAGTGGGAGTGAGAATGTGGTTTCTGGGGCTGGAGCTGCCCATCTCGTGACCCTGCATGACTCACTCCCAGGCTTCTCTGGGTTCCCCTCTGTAAAATGGTGTTAATGGCACTTACTACCCCCTGTTCTGAGTTGCTGTTATGAGGAATGTGGCACTGAGATCAAGTCATAGTCCAAGAACGCTCTGAGCAAAAGGAACCTTGAGTTCTTTTGAGAGGAAGGAAGAAATTACGAGCGATCCATTAAGGATTTTATAGCCGGTAACATTGTTCTCTGCTGCCGTGAGGTAGAACCTTTGACTTTTTTCAGGTGAAGATGGTAGGCTGTTGCTCAAGGGACCCATCCTGCTGCAGTGAGTCTGCACTGCCCACCCCACCTCCTCCCCTCCTGGGGCAGCCTTACATGTTAAGGATGAGCTTCTCAGACAGCAGACTTCTCCTCCGCAGTGGGCTATATAGATTTTCTGTCTGAGTGTACATGAAAACTAGAGTGGTCTGTCTCCAGGGCTGTAAACAAAACCAAAAACCCCGGCACTCAGCCCTTTCCAATCATGCCCCATTCAGGCTTGTTCTTCATTTTGCTCGGTGTGCATAGGAATGGTGACAAAACTGTGTGCCCACTTTTTACCAATTCTGGAATTCATGACCAAAGTGTTCTTTCTTCTTTCTCTTTAGTCTTTCAATCTCTTCTGATTTTTCTTTCTCTGGCTTCTTCTTAAAGGTTGGTGTTCCCCGGGGGCCCTTCCATAATCCCATTTTCTCATTCCTCACATTCCTACTAAGGATTTCATTTGTGCCTCTCACTTCGGCCACCGGCTATCTGCTCATGACTCCCAGACCCTTTGCCCAGCTGCCTACCGAACACTTTTGGATGTCCTCTAGGCACCTCAAACTCCATGCATTCCAAATCTCATTTTCTTCTCTTCAGACAGTTCCTATCCCAGTGAACAGCACATTTATCCTTGCACCCACCCTGGGGAGCTGAGCTAAGGCAGACCCTGTTACCTTACTACCCGAGTCCCAAAGTTCTCTTTCCTCTTTGCTAAAAGAGGCACAATTTTGTTTGGATATTGGAGTCCAACTTCTTTATGGGTGCTTCTTGATACCATGAGTGGGACTTGATTGGTCCGAGCCAATGACTTGACAAGATGTAAGGAATAGCTTCCTGGGAAAGATGTTGACTCTCCCATAAAAAGAGACAAGCCAGGAGAAAATATTGTTCCGGCTTTTGGTTGTGGTTATGCAGGTGCTTGATGTCAGGCAACGACAGCCGCCATAAGGGTACAAGCATGGGATGAAAGTCAGGTTTTTGCAGTATAAACCACAACATGGAAGACAACTGGATTCGTGATTATATTGTTAAGCCATTGAATTAACCATCCCTAGGATGGCTTATCTCTGACCTTCATGTTTGTGAGTTAGCAAATTCTTCAGTATTTAAATTGCTTTTATTTGGATACTGGAGAGCATTCTACTTTATCCTCTCATATATTAAACCCATTAGCAAGAACTTAACTATCCCTCCTGCCTCACTGCCCAGCCCCACTGTTACTACTTTGGGTTAGGTCCTTACCACTTGAGTATCACAAGCCTCCTTGTGAGCCTATAAATGTGTACTGTTACTTCTTTTGGCTGAAACCTTGTTTTGTGACTACTGCTGGGTATTTTCAGTTTCATTCAAATGCCACGTCCTCTGTGAGAGCAAGCATGTTCCCTGTGGTTTTCACTTCTGCCATCGTCATGCCTGGCTCCTTACATCTGGTAGGCCACCATGTGGCTGTTGTCGGCACGTCCCCCCAGGGGGACGTTACTGTAAGGCAGGCTATTCAATCTTCTTCCCACCTTGTCTTATGATAGGTCTGGAAAATAGCTTTGAATTCTATGTCTGAAGGAATAAATGGAAGACTGGATGATCAAATAGATTTTACCTACACTGGTATTAATGTGAATTTTTTTTTTAAAATGATAACGAGCCAATGACTTGACAAGATGTAAGGAATAGCTTCCTGGGAAAGATGTTGACTCTCCCATAAAAAGAGACAAGCCAGGAGAAAATATTGTTCCGGCTTTTGGTTGTGGTTATGCAGGTGCTTGATGTCAGGCAACGACAGCCGCCATAAGGGTACAAGCATGGGATGAAAGTCAGGTTTTTGCAGTATAAACCACAACATGGAAGACAACTGGATTCGTGATTATATTGTTAAGCCATTGAATTAACCATCCCTAGGATGGCTTATCTCTGACCTTCATGTTTGTGAGTTAGCAAATTCTTCAGTATTTAAATTGCTTTTATTTGGATACTGGAGAGCATTCTACTTTATCCTCTCATATATTAAACCCATTAGCAAGAACTTAACTATCCCTCCTGCCTCACTGCCCAGCCCCACTGTTACTACTTTGGGTTAGGTCCTTACCACTTGAGTATCACAAGCCTCCTTGTGAGCCTATAAATGTGTACTGTTACTTCTTTTGGCTGAAACCTTGTTTTGTGACTACTGCTGGGTATTTTCAGTTTCATTCAAATGCCACGTCCTCTGTGAGAGCAAGCATGTTCCCTGTGGTTTTCACTTCTGCCATCGTCATGCCTGGCTCCTTACATCTGGTAGGCCACCATGTGGCTGTTGTCGGCACTCCCCCCAGGGGGACGTTACTGTAAGGCAGGCTATTCAATCTTCTTCCCACCTTGTCTTATGATAGGTCTGGAAAATAGCTTTGAATTCTATGTCTGAAGGAATAAATGGAAGACTGGATGATCAAATAGATTTTACCTACACTGGTATTAATGTGAATTTTTTTTTTAAAATGATAAACAGGAACTCGAAACTGGGTAAGCTTTTTTCAGTAGCAGTGATTTTTACACAAGCCTTTAATCATGATTTAATACGTATCTAGCCATCAAAGTCAGAAGTCAACATAACTCTTAACAGTGGAATATTTTTGAAAATCCAATAAACAGCCACCTAGAACTCAGTCGTAATGTGTTGGCAGGTCCTTGTCCTCCTTCCATGCGGTCTGTCCACTCTGTTCCGTCTACCACTGGCCTCATGCCATCTCTCATCTTAATTCCTCCAGCAAATCTTCTCGGTAAATGGTTTTCCAGCTGGCAGATGTGCAGCTGAGGGATTACAGGAAAGCTTTCCAAGCAGGAGCAGTTCAGGAGTGGTTTTAGAGGAATCAGTACTCAAATTCTCAACCTCCATTTGTTCCTTCTTTTCTAAGAGATCCACATGGGAAGTGTCCACAATGGGATGGACAAGCCCTTCTTCCCTGCCCCTCTCAGCATCCCCTTCTTGCACTGGCCAGAAGGAGGAGATGGCCCCCCACCCAGCCCCTTCCACCGTGTTGTATTGCCAGGGGTCTAACGAAGTTTCTAGGGCACCAAACAAAGGGAGGCTTCTGAATATTGGTGCGCTCACTAAAAAGCAAGTGACCAATGAGTACATCTTTTTTTCAGGCTAGCTTGTTTCCAATAATTTCCTTTAAATCAAAATTGAAGGAAGAGCTAATTAAATTGTCAGCTGATCTATCACCACAAATAGTCTTGAGATGATGATTTTTCACATATAAGTCTGAAAAGCTTAAGGCAATCAAGAAGTTGAGACATTCATTGCTGCTAAAAAACACATTTCTGTTGCACTCTCCTTTTGTGACAAATTTCTTTAGTATATATTGTGCACACAATATAATCATACCCCCCTGCCACTCACACAATAGAAAATTTCTGCTGACCCTTATTTCTTCCTGGCAATAAAAAGTATTCATTCATGAAAACAAGTAACAGCAAAAAATCTTCATGTATGGGGTATCTCTTTAAGAGAGGCATATAATTGGTATTTACCTTTCATAGTTAATAATTATTTACTGAATTTTTAGCATAGTTATATTATTTTCATCAAATACTTCTCTACACTCTAATAAGTGACCAATCCACAGGAAAATTTTGAATCCTGTGGCTTTATGGCAACAGAATTAAAATGAAAATTTATATGCATACATTTTGTCATGGAAACGAATGACAAGGTGAAAATAAAGACTTTTAAGTCTAAAGCCTGTTCTCTTAGGAAAATGTGGCAAGGGCTCAAGAGAAATATGAATCCAAAGAGTATCTCCTATCAAGGAGTATGTTTAAATGTATTTTAAAAATGCATAAGAGCAGACATAAAATAGCTATAGTATTTAGCAATTACAGTATTTAGATTACTCTGAAGACATTAAGGAGAGTATTATAACCATTTTATTTTCAAACATCAACTCTGTAATATTGTTTAAGTGATATTCACTGTAAAGTCTAGGTGTCAAACAGTTTGTGAGAGGGTATGTCAATTTAAAGAAATATTTGGAGAACAGTACACTGAAGCATATTATTATTATTATCATATTATGTCATTGTTTCTAAGCATGAGAATTGTGTTAACGACACTGGGGAAAATGAAAAATTCTTCCTTGCTTTCTTTGACGCATAAAAATTTTATGACCACAAGCAAACGTTATGAAGAAAGACCCTGGGCTTTGTTCCTCTCCTATTCCCTTCCTTACCTCTCTTGAATTCTGCAACCTGTCTTTTCTGACAGTTTTTCAAAACACTCTGTGGGCATATGGACTCATAGGGGACTGGAAAGTCCCATATGAAGTAATCTAATTGAAACAAGAAGTTTGGTGCAGTTGGTGTTAAGTCTTAGACACCTTGCCTTTTCCAAGTCAGCTGCTATTGACAACTGAGGCTGAATCCAGGCAAATCTGAGGGCAAATCCAAGGCGGTTGACCAAAGAAAACAAATGTAACCAGCGGAAACCAGGAGACGTCAGTCATATCAACGAACATGAGTATGGAAAAAAATTTTTTTTAAGTGTCAAAAACCTATTTTAAATGAATGCTAATATCAAAAGTGGTGTCTATTTATACATATGTCATAGGCAGCACTTTCACTAACGCTGTAAGAATTCATTGATCCATTCATCCATCCCACATGTTTCAGGCATTTTTCTGGGGTTGAGATTCAAAGATGAGTAAGACATGGATTTCATGCCAGGAATGAAATAAATAAGCAAAAAGGGACATTAACCTGGATGTGGGAGACTAGTCAGTCTGCTCTTTGAGAAATCCATGAAAAATAAAATAATGTTGCCAAGGGGATGGACTAGAAGGAAACGTTTTAGATATTTGGGTGCTGACTTGTCGAAGGGACTGAATGGACATGGGATGAGGCAGAGGAGGTGTCTCCATATCTGCCTCAGGCAGCAAGATGACAGGAGCCAGGCTGAGATTTCCGTTGATTTTCAATAATCAGCCTTCTCCCGAAGCACCTCGCTTACAAATCTTCTACCATGGAAAACTCCATCACAGTAGAGACCCTGTCTGCTGTGAACATGACCATATCCCTGGATAGCACCAGCATCAGCGCATAGGAAATGCCTAGTGAAATTTATTGAATAAATGAACGGATATTTATTATTTTAGAGAAATCACAGATGTTGTAATTGCTAGTATTCAAACAGCCAGAATACAACTGATATTTGAGAAGGGGAAAGCCTGGGAGGTTAGGAATCATTCCTTTGCCTTTTATTTGGGAAACAAAGCAAATTTAAGTGTACCATTCATGCAGCAAATATTTACTGAGCGCACATGTGCTCATGATATGTTTGGTGTCCATCCTGCTTTTTATAACCCTGTTCAGATCTTTCCTTGGATCAGCCTAATTATAAATAATGTAAATAAAATGAGACTTCTACTGAACTTTTGAAGTATTTCTAGAGAATGTTTCTTGTTAACATCAAACAGAACCAGTTCTACCTTAAGCCAAGCTTATCAAATATTTTCTAATATATTGTTTCCAAACATGAGTATTGGCACATTTTTTCCAGAGAGCAAGTTCTACGAACAATATCTATTATTTGCATTCAATATAAATTCACCACAGGACTCATTTTCTGTAATAAGTGGCTCTCAAACTTCAGTATAAACAAGACACACTGGGGAACTTGTTAAAAATGCAGATGCCAGAACCACATGATGTAGGAATTCTGATTCTCAAGATTTCGGTTGGAATCGGACAAATGGCATTTTTAATAAGCACTCCAAATTCTGAAAAGCAAAGCCTAAATTATTTGTCTACAGTGTAATTATCTAGGCTCTGGTCCACTGCCCAGGGCAAATTTCATTAATTATATCATCATTAATAAGGACCAGAGTCTAATCCTGTGATACATAACAATCAGTGTTGCAGTTAATTAGAATTTAGATCTCACATCACTTTTTCCTTTGAGCAATTTTCCCATGTTTAGAGTAGAGGATTTCTTTAATGGCTTGTGACAGGAAGATGTGCGGGAGATGATTTGCAAGTAATTGTGATGTGTTTCCACTTAGGATGCCTTTCTTCTCAAGCTGTGAGCTGAGGTTTGTGCAAGTCCATGGACACACCATTGGAGAGGTCCCTGTAGGGAGGGGCCCAGGGGAGAGTCAGAGCCAGGGACCTGGCCCACGGCAACTCCGAGGTCGTGGAGGTAGATAGTCATCACCGTGCGGAGGGAGGCCTGAGCGGGGGCCAGCCCAGTGAGTCTCCTGTCCTGCCTGCTCTTCTCCCCTTCTGCTTCTTGGTTGAAGTTTGGGTGTCTTTCAGGCAACACACTGAGCAGAAGCTTAAAAAGCTAAAGAGAATCCATAGAAGGTATCCTTTATGTTGGAAGGGGCCATGAAAGGAATTCTCTGTATTTAACACTAAGAACATGATAGGCCTTCAGTGGAGGCACTGGTGGCATTGGGAGAGGTGTGACAGAGAAGGGCTGTCCTGTGCAGGTCACAACTAAGCCATTTCTAGCCGACTGGGGCCAAAGAGATGGCAGCCCCAGTGTAAGTATTCTTATTCCACAGTGTGTCTTCTAAAGATAACAACCATAGCTCTTTAAAAAGTGAATGGTATCTAGAATACGCAAGCCTCGTTGCCTGGGGCTGTGAGA